CAAATTAATCATTCATCATTAAACCCACTTGCTTTTAAACCATGTATAATATTTACAAAGGTACACTCACCAGAGGTCCCTTGTGCGCCCTCAGGGTCTAGGAGCATGCTTTGGGTGAGTTCAGGGGTTACTGGTTCCAGGTCCAGTGTGATAAACATATCCTGGCTGTTGGGGAAACAGGTTTCTCCGCTTCCTTGCTGTGAGCTGTCTTCATTGTCTTCATCGTCATCTTCCTCGTATCCCGAACCCACTTCCCTGTTGCGTGATTCTCCATTGATGGAGTCAAAGCACACGGTTGGGGTAGTGGTGGCTGCACCCCCTAGCATGGCATGCAGCGCCGCGTAGAAGCGGCATGTTTGCGGCTCTGCCCCGGACCTTCCGTTTGTCTCTCTGGCTTTGTGGTAGGCTTGCCTTAGCTCCTTAATTTTCACGCGGCACTGCTGTGTGTCCCTGGTATGGCCTCTGTCCTTCATGGCCTTTGAGACTTTTTCTAAAATTTGTCATTTCATTTACTGCTATGGAATTCAGCTAGCACTGATTCGTCTCCCCATATGGCGAGCAGATCCCGTACTTCCCGTTCGATCAATGCTGGAGTTCTTTTGCGATCTTGGGACTCCATCATGGTTACCTGTGCTGATGAGCTCTGCGTGGTCACCTGTGCTCTCCACGCTGGGCAAACAGGAAATGAAATTCAAAAGTTCGCGGGGCTTTTCCTGTCTACCTGGTCAGTGCATCTGAGTTGAGAGTGCTGTCCAGAGCGGTCACAATGAAGCACTGTGGGATAGCTCCCAGAGGCCAATAACGTCAAATTCCATCCACACTACCCCAAATCCAACCCACAAAGGCCGATTTTAGCACTAATCCCCTTGTCGGAGGTGAAGTAAAGAAACCGGTTTAAAGGGCCCCTTAAGTCGAAAAAAAGGGCTTCGTCGTGTGGACGTGTCCAGGCTTAATTCGATTTAACGCTGCTAAATTCGACCTAAACTCGTGGTGTAGACCAGGCCTTAGTCAACTAGACGTAAACTATAAAGACACTTAATGTAACAGTTCTCTACATTTCAACATGCACTTGATCCAGCACCAGCCACTAGTAGTGGTTTGTTTATATAATCAGCTGATCTGAGACCACACGTTCATCACAGTCTAATCTTGTGCCATCAGAACCGATATATTTTTATTGGTATTTATGAACATTTTTAACGCTTTAATATGTCAAAATCTATATCAGTTAACCAAAAAATTGTCTTTTGCCAAATCACATCTCTTATTTGCTTAAATTTGCAGCTCTAAACAGAGAGTCACATTTTTGTCCGATAGGGATGTGCATAAAAACAAGTTGTGAAACTTATCAAATGCCAAAAAATTAAGAAGGGTCTACATTTGAGGCCCTCTTTGAGCTTGAGGCCCAGGCCAAATGGCCCTCCTGCCGCCCCCCGCCCCCCCCTCCCCCCCGCCCCTCTGATTGGCTCTGGCAATGGTCTCAAGTTTCAGTGTGGGAGGTCTAGGTTGGATATTAGGAAACACTATTTCACTAGGAGGGTGGTGAAGCACTGGAATGGGTTACCTAGGGAGGTGGTGGAATCTCCATCCTTAGAGGTTTTTAAGGACCAGCTTGACAATGCCCTGGCTGGGATGATTTAGTTGGGGTTAGTCCTGCTTTGAGCAGGGGATTGGACTAGATGACCTCCTGAGGTCTCTTCCAATCCTAATCTTCTATGATTCTATTATAATACATTTAGTAGGTCATACTAGCATGTAATTTCTACCACATTTGGGAGAAATAGGTAGAATAATCTTACTAATCTATTAGAATTCTTTGAAGGTGTCAACAAACATGTGGACAAGGGGGATCCAGTGGACAGTGTACTTAGATTTCCAGAAAGCCTTTGACAAGGTCCCTCACCAAAAGCTCTTATGTAAATTAAGCTGCCATGGGATAAAAGGGAAGGTCCTTTCATGGACTGAGAACTGGTTAAAAGACAGGGAACAAAGGGTAGGAATTAATGGTAAATTCTCAGAATGGAGAGGGGTAACTAGTGGTGTTCCCCAAGGGTCAGTCCTCGGACCGATCCTATTCAACTTATTCATAAATGATCTGGAGAAAGGGGTAAACAGTGAGGTGGCAAAGTTTGCAGATGATACTAAACTGCTAAAGATACTTAAGTCCAAAGCAGACTGTGAAGAACTTCAAAAAGATCTCACAAAACTAAGTGATTGGGCAACAAAATGGCAAATGAAATTTAATGTGAATAAATGTAAAGTAATGCACATTGGAAAAAATAACCCCAACTATACATACAATATGATGGGGGCTAATTTAGCTACAAGTCAGGAAAAAGATCTTGGAGTCATCGTGGATAGTTCTCTGAAAATGTCCACGCAGTGTGCAGAGGCGGTCAAAAAAGCAAACAGGATGTTAGGAATCATTAAAAAGGGGATAGAGAATAAGACTGATAATATCTTATTGCCCTTATATAAATTGATGG